TTTTCCTTGGTCTTGGATATTCGATACAGCTGTACAGGGCAAATGCTTCGGCTGAGAATACGCTGCATAGCTAACTGCCGAAACTAACGTTTGTGTTGTGCACAATTATTCCAGCACCGGTGCGGTTGTTTTCTTTGGAGCCATCAGTATATATCTGCTCGTGGTCGTTATAACGAGTAGTTATGAATTCCATAAACTTCGGTAGTACGATGTTCCTGTTTTCGCCTGCTCTGATGTTGTTCCTAAGGTTGTTGTCAATTTTTGGGACTGGTGCATACCACTCTCTATCGGCAGTTCTTAGAATTCTGCATACATCTGGGAAACACCATGCGGTTGTTTCAAGAAGAAGGTTTTTTTTTCTCTTTTTGTCGAAGGATACTCGGTTGCTTCATGGATTTTTTCCGTTAGTTAACTGTCCGACTGATAAACAAACTGACAAAAACGTTGGATAAGTGAAGGACGGAAGGGGAGACAACCAGCCTCAGCCATTATAGAAATTATGGGGCTTGTTGGAAATGCACCAGATGCCTGGCGGACTACGTAATTGTAAGTGGGCCCTAGGATTCGTTCCATTGCTTCGATGTTGGTGCTTGTGATTCCCAGGCCATAAAAAAGTTTCGATAAAACCAGTGCTGATCCTATTCTAAGCAGAGTTGATCGAATTTTATTCAAAATTTGATTCTCTCGGCATTCTTTTCAAAATTATCTTGGAACTATCTGCCAAATTCACTAGAAATTAATCGAAGCAATTTCTTGGAATACTCCCCAGAAATCCTTTGGAATTTTCCTCAGCATTCAATATCCTTGAGGTTCTTCTTGGAATTTTTTAGAACTCTCCTAAGACCTCTTTTGAAATTCTTCTCAGAAGTTCACTGGAATTTTATTTAGAACTTTTCTTTATTTTTTTTCTCAGAACACCTTGGAACTGAAATTCCATTCCAGTTTTTCCCGGATTGAGCTAGAAATTATCCTCGGATTTACTTAAAATCCCTTTGGAATTTCACTCAAAATATGATGGTCTCGGTATTCTTTTTGAAATTTTCTTTGAACTATCTGCAGGATTCACTAAAAATTATTTGTAGAATTTTCATGGAATCATTCCCAGAAATCTTTTTTTTTTACTGTCCTCAGAATTCAATACCCTTGAGGTTCTTCTCGGAAGTCAACTTTAAGCTGTTCGTTCATTCACCAAAACGTTGTAGTTTTTCTACCAGAAATGTTCAATAAAGCTTGCCCCTCCATTCACCAGAACTGTGCAAATTCTACATCAGGAATTTTCAATTCAGCTTGCCCCTCCATGCAGCAAATTGTTGCTAATCTTACACCAGAAATATTCAATACAAACTTGCCCCCAGGAAATTTTACACCAGAAAATTTAAATTAACCAGAACGATGCAAATTTTCCATCGTTAATGTTCAATAAAAAATTGCTTCTCCAATCTTCTGATTGGTGCAGACTTCCTTTTTCCGTTTTCCACCAGACATTTTCAATGAAGCAAAGAGAATGACGAAGGACAACAAACTCGTAAGTAATTTCAGTCCAGAAGAGTTAACCGTCGCTGTGGGACGGACGTTAAACTACACTCTAAAGAAACCGGAAGAATGTTTCATCGAAATGTATCCCACGTGAAGTAGATTGAAATAAAATCAAACAACAACCCACCAGTTCCAGAATTACCAACAACTAGTTCCAGACCTAGTCCAGCGAGGTCAGCATGAGCAGAGTTACCAGAATCAAAAGCAGGCATATCATCATCGCCGAGAATGCAAGCAACCAGAGTACTTGAGCAATAATCCCAAGTAACATTTTAAGTTTTATGAAATACTACAAAGCAACTATAAAACAACATTCATAAAACCCTGGTCAAGGCTATTTTGTCATTAATGCATTCACCAAAACCTCATTAAGACTAGAATATGCCTAGTTGGCCCACCCTGGAGAAGGTTCTGAAGGGTGTATTCTCGAAGCTCTTCAAGATTGATTTACTGCAAAAGGTTGTATGACGAACGCATTGAGAACCATTTGAAAGCTACAATAAAAGCTATTTAGCTACAATAAAAACCCTTTCCGAGTCATTTCCCCTAGCCGCATGCTGAATCCACTAGGAAAGCATCAATCAAGATAGAAAAGGATTTATGAATCCGATCTTATCAAAATAATTGACCACTTTGTCAAGCAGTTTTGGCGAGACTTTCTGAAACTGATGGTATAAAAATCTTGTTGAATATCCTAATTTATTACAATAGTTCTCATTAAGTGGCCTAGTTTTATGTGCCATATTAAATTTTATGTGAAATGTACGTGAAGACATCGAAAAAATCAAGTCCACCCTCGTAAAACGTCGATTTGACTAATTATTTAACATTAAAAAATATATATATATATGTATTCTTCAGATCGAGCTTGACTGAGATTTTTTTTATTATTTTCGCATTTAAATGTTTGCTCATTGTTAAATTTCCCAAAATATAGTTGTATCAAAGGAAATAAAGATTGAAAATCTAAGATTGTAAAAAACAAGAAAACTAATTGTAAAGTTGATTTTCATGGGTCATTTGTGAAAAAGTTGTTTTGCTTTCAAGAATTCCTTAACAAATTAATAAGGTTTTAAAATGGCTTTTATGAAGAAAAGGCTGAATTGTATTTAGCTAAAGCCATTTTTCTTAAACGTCAACGTCGTTTGTTTATCTTTCGATAGTTGCGCTGTGGGATCCAGGGTTCTTCAAGATGGTTTTTTCCCGATAGATTGGGAGATTGGTTACTCAGACAGTTTGCGATACTGTTTTACAACATTTCGCATTTCGAACAGCTGAAAGCGCAATCGTTCCCGAAAAAGATCACCTTCTTCCGGATGGTTACAGAAGTGCACCATCCAACGATGCAGGGATGTACGCTTGAATGAAATTTTCGAAGAGTTGATTCTTTCGCCGAATAAAATCGCTGCTATGGATCGGAAACCAGCTGATCTCCGCTAACTAACAGTTTCAGTGGTTTGCTGTCGGTTGTCATCTTTTCGCAAGATCTGGAGAAGGCTGGTATGTTTTTTTAAACTTTCGACAATGATTTATGAATTCGAGGGCCCGGCTCAGTTTGCTATTCTCCACCAGATGGTCAGTCGTTAATGGTGTGCTGGTTCTTCTAAAGAAGTAATTTTTACTGAAATCGATGTGAATTTTTCATCCTTCTTTTCCCATACTTCGAGATTTCCTTGTCATAAATTTGGCATTTATTAGCTATGAGGAACCATCTTTTAAGCTCAATTTGTGAACAAAGTAATTGGGAAGTTAACGATGCACTTCAATAAGCCTGAAAAGCAACAATAAATGCTTTTTGCTCTAATGCAAAACCTAATGGTTTTATGGTTGCTTTTATAATGATAGAACACGTTTATAAAGTATTTGATCAAGACATTAATAAACAATGGCTAATGACGTTTATGCTTGAACTACAGAACAGTTTTAAGGAGGGACTGATAACTGTTTTAAAATTTATTTTTAAAACAAGGCAGTTTTTGACTTTCTTGCCAGACTATAAAAGGTTTTTAAAACAGCAAAAAGCTGAATTACTAAGCAGGAATGTTTTACACTTTGAAATGCTATATTTAAACTAAATGGATTGTTCATTGCCGTCATAAAACCATCATAAATCAGAGTGGATGCTAAATGGTTACTGAATTGTTACTTGGGATAGGTTGGGGGAAGTTATAGACTATCCATAATGAGGGGAGAAAGCAGCGTAATAAACGGGCAGTTGATTGTAGTTTACAAAACGACATGGTTGATATCAGTGTTGTGAAAATATCAAGAAATCAAATCTCACCGACGCCCAAGATCACGCTTGATTTGCGTAGACAAAAATCAACAAGCAAACAACTGTGGTTGATTTTGCAAGCTGTAAAATCGCAGCTCAGAATATCAAGCTAACAAAACTCACCAGCTGCAAATCTCAACAAACTGTGGTGAGATTGAGTTTCATGATTTTTGCTTTACACCCGAATGCAACCGAAACTTCCATAGCGGCTGGCAGCAGTCACTTCGTGTCTGCCATCGGTGAAGAGTAAAAAGAGATAGCATACTATACTTTCTCTTTCTAAGAAAACGATGTGCAACGGAATAATTTTTGTGTCGAGTCAACTCTCAGCTTGATTTTAGCACGTTGTGAATAGTCTCACAATATCAAAGGAGTTTGTTAAATCAATATCAAGCATGATATTTTGTTCCAGTATCATGCGTTCGCATGAGAGCGGAAAAAATATCAATTGATTTCTGATATTGCCAACACTGGTTGATATTTTATTTAGTACCTGTATCGGATATTACAAGTGACAAAATGGTACGTCTCCATCATCTGAATTATGTTTAACTTATTAAAAGCTCAGGTCATTATTGTTGAGATTTGGTGCCTGTCCAACATCATAAAGATTTTATCCAAAATCTAGATTTGCATCCGAGATCTAGTCTTGGATTTTGATTTTTTTTCAAGGTTTCTACGAATCCACATAATCTTTATGAGCGCTGGAATATGTGCGTAGAAGAGACTTGTTATGTTAATTTAGGATGTCAGGCCTGAATGCTGGAAAATAAGTCTCAATTAAAAACATTCCTAGTTCAGAATATCGAACAAAAAGTTGAATCCTTTTGGTAAATTTCTTCCAAGTATTGCTGAACTGATATATTTAACAAACAATCAGAGTTAGTTAAGTCTGCGATCATGAATTTTGTCAAGTTCGTTCTTCAAGAGCTACTAATATTGCCCTAGTCTTGGCTTTTATTATTACGTTTGACATCTTTTCTGCATATGGCTAATTAAGCTATAACACAAATTTGAAGCAATTTCGCATCAGATAACCTTAAAACTTCCCATATATTTTCAACTGCATCATTGGTCTCAAGCAATCGCAGCTGAATATTAAAGTTGAGTTAAGCGACTAGCCCAAAATTGCCGAACTAAGCCTGAATACCTAGCTAAACCTTCCGCAAAAACTGGTCCCCATCCATACCTGAATCCAGTTGGCCGCATTGGAGATGTCCGAGGAGTTACCGCTCTGCCAGAAGATGCTCACCAGACAGAACGTGTAGAACAACAGCGTCAGATAGGTGGGCAGCAGCTGTTTGATGTAGTTGATGCGGACATTCCCGACGGTTGTCGCATCCAGCGGAAACGGACAGAGGCCGAAGAGTTTCGAAAAGTAGTAAAATGATTTGATGGGTTGCATGCTTGTTGATCGAACTTTCTAGTTGGGTAACTTTCTGGCACTGAACTTTCCCGCGGTCAGCAAACGGTAATTATTCCTCCAGCAACAATCGGCACCAAACAAAGCACACAAAAAAAAACTTTTTCTCGTTTCACAACACTTTGCCTGCCGGACAACCGGGGAGGGGTTGGGGAAAAAACTTTCCTCTTCGGATATTTAACGTATCACCAACTTTGCAAGCGTGCAAGCACACTACACACTGGCCATTGTTTGAAACCGTTTTCTGATATTTAATTGAAAAACTAGTCAGATTCTGGACGGAACGATTTTTTTTTGTTCTCGTGCACACCGCGACCACCTACAACCGGGCAACCGTGCGCTGAGTGGGTATGTGAACTCTAGCAGGACTGGAACTTGGGCAATCGTTGATAGAACGCGATACCGGGCTAGCTGCACACGTACTTCGTGTCCGAGAGCTGCGATGAAATTGATTCAATAATAAAACTTTTGTTTCGATCCTGGCTATCGGCGATAGGGGCTGCTGCCGTTGCTGCTAGATCGATTACCGAAACGACACAATAAGTTGCATCAACAGCAACCACAGCTCAACCGACGAATGGTCACCCAAGTAGCAATCAACGTATTTCGGGTACCAGGGGATGGGGAGGGATGGACTATTGTTGCGAAAGTCCTGAGGGTGACGGCTGACCTTTATAATGAAATATCCAACAAAGGAATCACACTAATGGTGTGGAGCGTTATTAGGAAACATTGGAGATTCGAAGGTAAGTGGCGAGTCGGACTGTGGATGAACTAACTGGATTCCTCTGGCGACGGTGATCAACTGGGCCGGTAATGTCGGTAGTGTCTGTTTAAGTTATGATGAACTGGCTGGAGCCTCATAGCCTAGTAAGTAAAGGCATGGTATTACCAAGCCGGAGGCGGCGGGTTCGATTCCCGGTCCGGTCGAGGGAATCTTTCGGGTTGGAAATTTTCTCGACTTCCCTGAGCATATAGAGTATCATTGTGCTTGCCACACAATATACAAATTCATGCATTGGTATTGGCATCGAAAGCTCTCAATTAATAACTGTGAAAGTGCTATTGAACACTAAGTTGAGAGGACGCAATAAGCTAATATGCGCAAAGCAATAAGCTTGAAATGCCAACAAGAAGAAGAAAAAGAACTGGCTGCACGTAGGTGTTATTCTAGCTGGTAATGAGGGACGATTAGATTGCTTGTTTGAATCAAGATCTCAGTAATTGTGATGAAAATAAAAGTCCCTCGGCTCCATATAGCTCCAAAAGACGTAGAACCTACCGAATTAATACTATGGAAAAGTTTGCTTTTTTGTCAAATTGGTTCACTGACAGTGAATTTTAAAAATAGTCTCAACGAAGATAAATAGGGTTAGAAGGAGCCCTGATGTACACGTTGGAGACCAGAGATCTTGTTCTAAGTCCCATGAACTCGTCTCCCAAGTCTAATACACACTAGTTTGATTTACTTACCCTGGATTTTTTTAAACATCAGTTGACCATATGGACGTTAGGCATAATGTACGATAGGCATAATGGACGTTAGGCATAATGGACGTTAGGCATAAATGACGTTAGGCATAAAGGACGTTAGGCATAATGGACGCTAGGCATAATCTACCCGATGAATTCCAGAAGAAAGATAATGGGACCGTCTATTGATTCCTGACATCGGTGACAATAATGAAAGCGCCTTAATTTTTGGAACGCATGAAAACTTGCGACGTCTTGAACAGGCAAAGTATTGGGTTGCAGATGGTACGTTTACCGCAGTTCCTTGTTTGTTTCGGCAACTCTTCACTGTTCATAGAAGTATGGCTCCCTCACGTCAGCAGACGGTTCTGCTAGTTTTCATTCTGATGATAACAAAAACAGAATCGTTGTATCGAAAAGTATGGGAGTAAATCGCTGAAGCAGCAGTAACCTAAAAAAAAATACAAGGAACAGCCCTATGTGGTTGTACGCAATGGTGACGTAGGACAACGTGGTCTTATATAATAAATGTTATTTGTTAACTGAAGCAGGAGTTTATGTTTTGTTTAGAAAAAGGAATTTGAGCGGGGTTCTCTCTGTTTACACTCTTTAGTATGACTATGATTGCCCTGAACAAAAATTTAACTTTTTTGAAAAATCTTGGTGGCTCTGAAAAAGGCCGATGGTAGTACAGGCTTAAAGCCTTTGGAAGATGATGATGACGTGTAGGCAGCTGGATTAGCAAATCGAACCGGACAATCCCATATTCTTCGGTTCAATGATTGGGCACTCGCAAGAGTCTCGGTCCGTCTGCTGTTGGACAGGGGTTGAACTGGTGTCTGCGACAGGTTGGAAGGCCACAGAATACCAGTGTCCACCCAGCTAAAGCACCTTCCCTTTGGTGACAAAAGCAGTCACTTATTCGCGAGCGTGGAAAGATCCACTGCGTGATTGGCTCAAAGGAGTCCAAGGCACTCCAGCCGGACGCGCGCGTCGGGGAATCCCCCTGGTCAAGAAGCCCGGAGCCACAAGGGGCCCACACCAGAGCAGTGGCACTCCGCGTCGTCTGAGAGAAGAAGCTGCAACACGTTCTAGATCAAAAATAAAATAATTTAAGATTTACCTCTATTTTAAATAGTAAATAGTACTTAAATTACGAATCTTTAAATTAGAGATAGTTTACTAAAAAGTATCTCTACTCTACAATGATCGATGTAGAATAGGGATATTTTATGAAAATATATAATAGACGGCATTACAAGGGTATGAAAAGGCTTGGTCACAACAAGGGTTCTAGTGCCTGTCTGAAAATTTCGTAGTAGTTCTTCGGAACTTGCGATGTGATTATTTCGCTGAACACTCAGATCGCGAAATTTTGTTCGAATTCCAAAAGTTTGGCCTGAAAGTGTTTCGTCCACCCCGGCCCCGAAAGACGAGGGTTGATCTCCTGCTTCATTAGTGCGTCCATATTATCGAGGTTGTTGGGGTGTTGACCTGTTGCGTCACGGGTGGGGTTCGGGAGCTGGATCAAAGGGGGTATTGCTCCATCCTGGCGTCCCAGTTGTTGTTGACTGTTGTTGACTTGTTGCAGTTTTTGGCTGTAGACCTTCTGGAATGTCCTTTCGTTCGTCATTTGCTTCGTTGGGGTTTTAGTCTAGAGTGCCAGGGGACGGGACGGGTTCGGCAAGTTTCGAAGGCCGACGGCACCCGAAGGTACTCTGATGATGTCATTTGATGGACGACTGGGAATTCACAGCACAGTTTCTTAGTGCAGCTGTCTTTAGCAGAACGGCTGTCGCAGCTTGGTGATCGCATTCGTCAGATGCAGGATTTCGGTGTTGAGCTGTGACACGAGGGTTTCGAGCTTGTCGACTTCAACGCGCTCGGTGTGTGGGTTGAAGCGGACCAGGAATGGCCGGGAATTGGTCGAGACCCAGTGGCGGAACTTCTCCTTGGCATACTCGAAGCTCTCGGCGACGTAGTAGATTGGCTGGTATTGTTGGTCCTGGTAGGACTGGACGGTGGTGCTGGCCGGCTCGAATGCGCGATGCTCTGGCTTGTCACTGATGGCATGCAGCAGTTCTCCGTAAACCGACAGCAGACCGGCACCGTAGGCCTTGATTTCGTTGTTCTCCTTGCACAGACCGAACTCTACGGTGAACCAGTAGACCGTAGATAGCTTCTCGATTTCCTCATCCGACGCGCCCAGCGAGGCAAGACCAATCTCCTGGGAGAACTGAGCGAAGCTCGGATCGGCCAGCAGTGGCACATGGCCCAGCAGTTTGTGGATGCAGTCGGGTTCTGGTGTGTGGTATGGCGAGTTGATGTGTCGGACGTACTGGGTGCACTGGAAGATGCGGAACGCCAGCGAAGCGAGGAAGTCCCGGGCGGTCGCTCATCTTCGGCAGTTGTGGGATGCGTTCCATGACGAAAATCTTTTCTTCCTAGAGCTTTTTGAACACGGTCACGTACTCGGAGCAGACGTGCTTGACGCGGATGAACACGGCCGACCAGGTCTGATTAGGGACGTTCCGATACTGCAAAATATAGATTTTTGATTCGATACGATTATCAAATCAAAGTATCGATATTACCGATATATCGAATTCAAAATATCGATGATGATGTTTGCAAAATTTAAAAAACGTAAAATATAAAAACATACTATTTAATTGAAATACATTTTTATTTCGTGAGCTGTGAAAGTACATCTGATCATTTAATTTAATTGAACGCTAATTGAAAGTCTGCTTCGTCGACACTGCTTAGAAATAGGATTTTCTCCAAGTGCTTTGGTGAAAGACGATTCCTGGTGGTGGTCACTGTAGCACCTGCTTTTGAAAACAGACGCTCACATGGTACGGATCTGGCCATATGTACCAAGTAAAGTCTTGCTTGCTGGTACAGTTGTGGAAAAACTTGTTTCATATCCTCCCACAGTATCAAAGGATTGGTTTCCAGAGCGCCTACTGGATTCACCATATAAACGTCAAGCTCATCTCCTACAGTTGACTGATACTCATTGCTTTGAGCAAGTTGCTTATGATGTCCCCAGAAATCAAATTCTCCATCATTTTGTTCACCCAATGAACCCGTTGCATCATCGTTATCTTCGTTCCTATAGCCATCGTTGAAATTTTCCCTGATCTTCGAAATAGCCTTGGACTTGGCCGAAGAATTTTGGAAGTGTAGATTTTTAAATCTTGGATCCAAAATTGATGCTACAGACATCACAACATTTTGCTCAATTTGGCCAAACCTTTTATGTAGTTCTTTCATAAGACAGTCTTTTACGGTTTTTACAGCAGAAATGTTAGAGGAAAAATTTCTAATTTTGGATGAAAGACAGTTTACCATGGGAATAACTTTAGAAACTGTCACATATTTATCCCCACTGATGTCTCGTGTCATGAATTCAAAAGGTCTTAAAAGATTTAACAACTGCCGCACAAGCTCCAGCTCTGCCGACGTATGCATTGGTGGACCGTTGGTGTCATCAATCAATATAT